TAAAATTATTTTACTACCGTGTTTCCCCGAAAATAAGACAGTGTCTTATATTAATTTTTGCTCTGAAAAATGCGCTAGGTCTTATTTTCAGGGAATGTCTTATTTTTTCCAGGAAGAAGAATTCACATTTATTATTGAACAAAAAAATTCCCAAGTCGAACTTAGACGAGAGTGACGTATATCCGGTGTGTCGAACTGTCGCCTTTTTATAGCGTCAACATCGGACTCGCTGACCAATTAGTGCTTACTGAACCGTAGCACTATGCAAATGTCATGTTGTTTATCAACCTTCTTGGCCCCCGAAATGTTTGGTAAAGGAAATATGGCCTGCGGGCTATGGTAAGTTGGATAGCGCTGCTGTATGGCATTCATGAATCCTTCTGTCTCCCCAAAGAGGCTTCCCCGATCTAACCAGCTGTTTGATGCAGTTTTGTCAACAAAATCCTGGGCCAGGTCATAAGGATGCCTGCCATGGAGTGTCTTTTGAGCCCACGATTGCTTAGTGGTGTCTATGCTTATTATTATTATTATTATTATTATTTGTAATTTCTAATTTGAAAATAATTTTATTTTTGTTACTGTTGAATTAGGAAAAATTTTAAGTCCAGATTTTTGCAATTTAAATAAAAATAACTACTACAAACCTTGAGACTCATCTTCTTTTACAATTTTACGTTCTTCTTTAAATGCATTTATCCATTTTGACTTTTCAGCAGCTGTTTTTGTATAAAACAAAAACCATTTCTTCCTTGGGGAACAGTATAATTTCCAAGCATTTCGTGCATTCATATTAAAATGAACATCTAAACATAAATGAAATAAAATTTAATACTCATTCAACTATAAATATATTATAATAAACACCTGAAAAGCTATCAACTGTAGTCATCTAGACACTAAACTATTATCAAATTTTTTAATTTTCTTTTAATTATCCATTTGCAATAATACTTTTTTTATTATTTGTTATGCTGTAAAATATTTTTAATCAGCTTTTTTATATCATTTAGTTTTTTTCAAACATAATTGATTAAATATTTATTAGTAAAACTTCACATAAATTTGCACACTATTTTTCCTTTGTTTTTAATCTTGCATGTATAAAATACAGAAATACATAATCTTTGAGCAATGTAAAGAAAATGTTTGATGAATAAAGAGTCTTACTTAGTTTTACTTATGTTTTGTATTTAATGATTTTGTTTAAAAATAAAAATAGCACAGGAATAAATTATTGATAATTAATTAAATATTTTTTGATAGTTATAATGAAAATCATGTGTTGTTTAAAATCAATAAAAATGTATTTTAAATTTCCAAAAAAAAAATTCTATTCTATTTCATTTTAAAAAACTGCATGTTTTTAATAGCTTTTCTTAGGTTCTCAACCTGACAAATCTGTTGCTGAAAACCTGAGAATCTGTTAAAATTCAATAGTTTTACTAATTTACTCAGGTTCTTAAAAAAATATTATACAGTTTCAACACTTGATGTTTAGAGTTTTATCTGTTGCTTTGAAATTTACGGTTCATGTGGTAAAGAAACCTACACAGAGAAAGAGATCATCTGGAGTTGAATCTGCAATATTAGATGCATTTCTAGTTATTCTATGTGGACTTTGTTCTGATTTTCCAATTAATCTGTATAACTATATAATTGAAACTAATACATGTCTGGAAATGAATATTAGATGGAAGTTTGAGTAGCATAATCAAAAGCTGTGTAGTGGGTTGCACTCACAGTCCAGACTGATTTTTTCATCCAGAATTTTCTAAACTACTACATTAAATTAAATCTGTTTATTAATACTACTAAATTAATTCTATTTTTTAATCTTAGAGCAACAAAGTGGCCTATCTGTCTACTTTTAGGTCAAATTATATTTAATATTACTTAAAATTATAATGTATATGGTAACATAAAATAAAACATAAAAATCCAGCAATTCAGGTTTCTGATTCACTATAAAATTCAGGTCTAACTTATATAATACATATCATATTCATATAACTAATTTTTGTTATTTTTTTAACAAATAAATTATAATTACCTCTTCCATCTTCAATTTCTACTAATTGACAAGAATTTAAATTTAGCCTGCCTTTATAAATATACGTATTTCGTTTTAAAAGATCCTAAAATAAACATTTATAATGAAAAATTAATCATTTATAAAAATATTATAAATATGGTACTAATACAAATATGTTATCATAACAACATATAATCCTGATTTTCTGAAAATGAAATATATTTACAATATATACTCATTGACAAAAAAGTTACATATCAAGGAGGTATTGAATTTGGCAGTCTTATTATAGCCCAATACTTTGGCGAATCATTTGATTTGCCAAAGTATTGGGCTATAATAAGACTGAGTTAGCAATTAGATACAAAGTAATTTGTCTAGAGGTATAATTTAGCAGATCATCTGGTTTTAATTAATTAATTAATTTAAAGTATCAGGTTAATGGAGTTGTTTATTTAAATAAGAACATTGAAAATTCTGAACACAGCAAGCCTGTGCTTTTTATAGGATACTGAGATATAACCAAATGATCGCCTAAATAAACAAGCTATCGCTTGGTTATGTTTCTATATACATATTGGGTTTTGCTATGTTTGGGTACTGAGATACTGATTTTAAGGCATTTTAGTGATTACCAAGTATGCAATTGGGTCACAGCCATAATCATTTACATATCTGTCCAAGATATAACTGTGTAGCTGTGTACCAGGTTTTACAGAATAATTCTGTCTGGGTATGTAACTTTTTTGTCGTCTTGTGCACTCTAATTTTTTCTGGATTTAGATTAATATAACAATGATTGTTTTGGACCTATATATAATAGTTTATCTTCAAAATATATTTAATGTAAGCATGACTTACTGATTCTTGTTTCAGTTTTTTGGAAAAATATATATATATATATATTGACCAATTGAATTTTTTGTGTGCAAATTTCATGATCATATGTTTTCTAATGTTTTTTATGCTTAAATAATCAATTGTATACATACTGATGTGATAACTGTTACAAAATAAGAATTACTGTAGAATTCTAAATTTAAGAAATTTTGAAATCCTAAAACTACTGTGCTAAGTTAACAAAGTTTTAATATTGTGAAGATTTTAAATAGTCTTTGAAATCCAAAAATCTTGGCAACATTATAAAAACAGTTTTTGACATTGCTTGTTAAGGTAACCAACTATTTTATGTACAAAATTGCTGGCTTTATTTTAAGCCAAAAACATTTTTTCATAAATAAAATACAGTAGTTGGTTATCTTAACAAGCAATGTCAAATAACTGTTTTTAAAAAACAGTTTTCTAATAAATTCTTTTCATATTGTTCCAGTAAATTAAATATGATTTATTATTGTCAAATAGTTTTAACTTATTATATTATAATTCTCAATTTTCAACTATAAGAATTAGTAATATATTTTCAAGACTAACAAAATTATAACTGTTTTAAAGACTAGAACAAAAAAATAATATAAATAATAGTATGTGTAGACAATTTAAGAAATACATTATGAAATGGCACAAAATGGCTCATGCATGTGTAGTGCTATGTGACTAAGAATTGTGTAATCTTTTTTGTATATATTTATATATATTTTGTTGTCACTCTGTCTCACGTTCTCATTTATTGTTGTACGATGTGTTGCATAAACCTTCATCTTTGCCCTGGTGTCATCTTTTCTCGGATGCCATGTTTAATGCCTTATAATTGGTCCAAGGTAGAATCACATGTGAGGGATCTATTTCAAAGGAGCAGGAAGTATAAAGGACATGAACCTTCATGTCTGAGGCTATGTTTTTTGAAACTCTTCTGAAAGGATAGAAAATGAGAGGAAGCAGGAACACCCCAGCCAAACCTCAAAGTCTGTGATTTCGATGAATGAGCTACATTAGAAGAAAAAAGAAAAACCCTGGGAGACAGCAGCCATTGATGAAGGGATGTCTTGATGAAAATTGAATAATCCATTTCCATCATGCTGGAACAGTGAGCCATCAGCGAGGGATAGCTATATTTGTCTCCTGGCATTTGAGGATCAAAATAGGATGATTAGTTGTGAGATTATATTTTGTGTGTATACATTCCTGTAATCTTTTCACAATAAATATATTATTGCAGGATCATACGGACTACTGTGTGTAAGCAATGTATTGAGGAAAGGGAAATAAATGTACATATGTGAAAATCTATTAACTAGTAAGACATGAATCATTTCATGTTCGTATGATAAGACGTGTATAAGCTATATAGTTGTGTTACTGCACCCTGCATACTGATTACCATCATATGTCACGTTGTGGAAAATAAATTTTTTTTCATTTGGTCAGTGTATATGTCTGTGTTTTCAGTCAATGTCTGTGTCCTTTCATGTTAATTTCTTTATATTCCGTGGTTCTCACTCCACAGGAGACACTACACATGAATTAAAAATTATTGCAGTGTATAAACTTATAGTGAAAATGTCATTAAGACAATAATTCTTATCTCTGTTTTCATAATGAAAAATGTGTTTCAAGAAAGCCAGATTAAGTTAAACTATTTAATATTTCTGAATAATTAGAACAATAAAACATACTATTCATCTAGGTAATTCATATTTTAAAATATTTGATAATAAAATACTCACTTTTTTACAATAGACTAGAAGATTATCAAAAAGAAAGACATAAATATCTCTTGACCATGATGATGACACTCTCGTTACTTCTCCTGAATGAATTAACATAGTACTGGTATCAAGAAGTTCGGGACCCTTAAAATTTAGATAAGTATTTTTCATTTAATAAATATGATCATTTTGAAATTTACGTATATTGAAAATTGTAAAATATGTTAAAAGAACAGTTTCTTTAAAAGAAATTTATGTTTGTTAGATAAAGTTCAAACTCCATGGAAGGCTGGAACACAAATACAACAAAATAAACAAGCCATTGAACCTTAAATAGATTCCAGTAGAAGTTTAAAGCAAATAAACTGTGGACAAACATTTTCAATCTTTGAGAGAGATCTTCATCATGCACGATGTTCCAATTTATGAGGGCAGTTTTTGTTTCAGCCTCTGATGGTCCATAAAACAAAGACAAGTGTAAATAACAAAATTAATTTATTACCAAAAGTTAAGTACAAACATGATTACTTTTTGACATAATCACCGTGAAGATTGAAGCATTTGTCATATCTGTGGATGAGCTTTGCAATCCCCTCTTCATAGAATGTTGAGATGGGCCTTAACATTGTTTTGAATGTCATCATTAGTCTCAAACCTCTGCCCTCGTAACCATTTTTTCATTTCAGGGAAGAGGTGAAAGTCACTCAGCACTAAATTGGGGGCTATATGCCAAGTGTTCAAAAAGTTTCCATCAAAATTGCTGAAGAAGCTTACAACACTGTGAGGTCAGGGATTGTCATGAATCATAAGAACTCCAGAAGTCAGCATGCCTCTTCTTTTGCGCTGAATGGCTCTCTGCAGTCATCATAAAGTCTTGCAATAAACGGCTGCATTGATCATAGTCCCTGGTTACATAAACTCAATAAACAACACACCTTTTTTGGTCCCAAAACATGGTAGCCATAACCTTCCTTATTGAAGGTTTATTGAAGGTTTTTTAAACTTTTTTGGTTTGTTTGGTGAGTTTAAGTGCATCCATTGTCATGATTGTTGTTTTGTTTCAGGGGTGAGATACTGAATCCAAGTCTCATCTCCAGTCACAACTGATGTCAAAAAATTGTCACTTTCAGCCTCTTAATGGGTGAGGAATGTCAGTGCTGCCATTTGGCTACTTTTGTGGTCATCAGACATCTTTGGAATGCAGTTTTTTGTAGGGTAGGTGATCTATTACAATCCTGTAAAGAGATGATCTTAAAACTTCAGGAAATTCCACACACACTTATGGTAAACCTCTGTTTTTTTTTTCAAATCACTTGGTCAACTTGTTGAACAATGTATTCTGTTGTGACAGACTTGCATCCTTGTCCCCTTTCATCATAAACATCGGTTTGGCCTTCTTTAAATTTCTTACACCATTCATGCAAAAACCATTACTCATAAAGTTTTCACTGTATACCTGGCTCATTCTTCGATGAATTTCTGCAGCACTATTCCCTTCTGCTGAAGAAACTGAATTACACTATGCAACTTGCACTTGGTGGGGGAGTCAATCGTAGCAACCATATTTACATGCATGCAACTAAGCTCACAATGGCATAATGACATTGGAAGTGGCAGTGGCTATAGTGGAAGAGATGCGCAATTGCTCTCTGTGCATACCCATATCCTTCCACTCAATTGGCTGTTTACCTGCACAATCAGAGGTTGAAACAAAAACTGCCTATGAAAAATAAGAGAAAAAACACATTACGTAATGTGAAGTTTTGAATAAAAGCAATGTGTGAGATATTAATAAATTATGTAAATAAATTAACATAAACATTAACAAGGTAAATACATAAGTAATAAATATAAAATGACTCCCTAACCCCTATGTACATTTGGAGATAAGAATTCTTGATATAACATTTTGAAGTGTAAACATCCTGCCTCTGTCATATAAAGACTGCTAGGCATGTGATAAAAATTTCTTGTCCTTGAAATTAATACAATAACCCTTTTTTGGATTTGAATATCTTGATGGCTTTCATTGCCCTGATGTGTTCATTTTGTTGAGCTCATCTAATGAAGGTAGTTTTGTCAACATAAGCTTGCACATCATTCTCAGATATGTATACTGTCAGGACAATGGTGTGTTTTCTTCTATCTATATTGTTCTTGTGTTTGGCTAGCCTCTTTTGGAGTAATTGTTTGGTGGAACATATGCATTCTAGGTTGTATTGGAATTGATTGTCCCATTCCCAATGGAATCCTTTATACACCCAGTATCCTAAATCTGTTAACATTGTCTTTTCCATTTCTGGGAATCTTATAAATAGTAAGATTATGTTTGAATGCTAACTTAACATCCCTATGTAGGGATATTTCTTGTAAAGGTAATGTATATCATAATTGTAATCTAGAAACACATGGTGAGGTTTCCTCATATATTTAAGATTTTTTCAGATATCACATCATTATTAGGGTAAGTACTTTCTATATTTTTGTTAGAGTAAGTGCAGGCTAAATTATAAATAAGGCTTTTATAGTAACCATGCTTTGTAGTGTTGTAGTAAAGATCAAAAACATTTGTGCACAGTTTACTTGCATTAGATTTCTACTGAAATTTATTTAAGGTTCATTGGCGTATGTTATTTTGTTTACTAGATCTTTATTATTCTTAACAATAAATCTGTAAATCACTACTAGCAATATTTCAGTCTTTTTAAAGAGTTATTTTTCTTATTTTTTATGTAATGAATAACGAATTCTAGAGGTTTCATTTAAATATTTTAAAATCTTCGATCTAAATGAAAAGTTTACTGAATACAGTAGAGCGTCGATTATCCAAATCAATTGGAGACTGGGGTTGTTCAGAAAATTGATTTTTCAGATAACCGATTATGTACGAAGAAATACATTATAAATATATTATATTAGTATATCCCATGTTTAAATTTTTCTCTGTTGCATGTCGCTTTGCTTTGTATTTTTGTTGATGTTAAGCGTAACGAAAATTTTTATAATAATAATCGTGGCTATTGTATCGTTAAAAATTATTTCTTTATTTTGTACAAACAAAATAAATATATTGAAAAATATAAAAACAAAAAAAATTATATTTAGAAGTAAATCTAGTATTAAAAACGTTCGATTCTGCACAACACAGTCTGACTGGAACACTTTCAGTTAACCGATGTTTCGGTTGATCAGCATTCAGATAATCAACGCTCTACTGTACTTCAAATATATATACAAGGTCTGTTCAAAAAGTATCGGACCTTTGGNTATAATCATAATTACTGTACAGTTATATAGGTCAATTCATTGAATCATTTAACTTATATTAAGATATACTTTACACAGTTATATGTTTTTATACACACACACACACACTTGATATTTTTATGTTAAAATATCATATTATTTATTTCATTATTTATATTTTGTAATAATTATGTATATTTATTAAAAAGTATTTTTGTGAAGTTTTTCTCTACTACAGTTTAAATGAAAACATAAAAAAAAAGTATTAACTTCCTGTTGGTATAGTAATATAAACTTATAATCAATATCTCAAGAATCTATATTCCAAAATAAAAAGCTTCATACTAAACCAAGTGATCATCATTTAATAATAGCCTAATTAATTATGGTGATCATTTGGTTTAGTATCAATGCATCAAGCTTCAGGATGTTTATTATATAATTCATATTATATGATTCGTTTTTGGTTCTACATTGATCAATGGTATGTTCATAAAATCAAATGAGTTAAATGCATTACTGATGAATCAGTCATAAACTGCAATTTCACTCAGTTCATATGTTCAATGTTGGTGATGTTTTAAACAAGAATCCAACAAATTTCACAAAGGAAAGAGAGTTTACTTTGTGAAGAAAATGGTGCCTGACAAAATCGATGTTTCTAAATGTACTTGAATATTTAAATTGTGGATTAAAAGGTGAAATGATACAAATAACTATCCATTTGAAGCAATCTAAGAATATTTCAAATAAGACTGCACTAGCAACATTCATAAATTCAATTTAGAAACAGTCACTTTGTTATAAACAAACCAGTCAAAATGTCTGACAAAAGTAAGAATAGTCATTCTCATTTAACTCATTCAACTTTATGAATGTAACAACTGAACCAATACTCAGCAGAAAGAATAATTCATCAATAAACACCTTGGGCTGCTTAGAAACATTTATTTGCTATACACAAATGTAACTGACGATGGCCTATACATTAGGCTGAAAACATTTATGTATAGCAAATAAATGCTTCTCAGCAGCCCAAGGTATTTATTGATGAATTTACAAATGTATCCCATATAAACAGTTAATCATCTGTTTAATTCCAACTATGTTTTTATTATTAAACATTTTTGAAATTTATCATGGAAGAAATTAAAAAATTCTAATATTTTTAATATGAATATATATATTCATATTAAAAATATTAGAATTTTTTAATTTCTTCCATGATAAATTTCAAAAATGTTTAATAATAAAAACATACTTGGAATTAAACAGATGATTAACTGTTTATATGGGATACATTTGTAAATTCATCAATAAATACCTTGGGCTGCTGAGAAGCATTTATTTGCTATACATAAATGTTTTCAGCCTAATGTATAGGCCATCGTCAGTTACATTTGTGTATAGCAAATAAATGTTTCTAAGCAGCCCAAGGTGTTTATTGATGAATTATTCTTTCTGCTGAGTATTGGTTCAGTTGTTACATTCATAAAGTTGAATGAGTTAAATGAGAATGACTATTCTTACTTTTGTCAGACATTTTGACTGGTTTGTTTATAACAAAGTGACTGTTTCTAAATTGAATTTATGAATGTTGCTAGTGCAGTCTTATTTGAAATATTCTTAGATTGCTTCAAATGGATAGTTATTTGTATCATTTCACCTTTTAATCCACAATTTAAATATTCAAGTACATTTAGAAACATCAATTTTGTCAGGCACCATTTTCTTCACAAAGTAAACTCTCTTTCCTTTGTGAAATTTGTTGGATTCTTGTTTAAAACATCACCAACATTGAACATATGAACTGAGTGAAATTGCAGTTTATGACTGATTCATCAGTAATGCATTTAACTCATTTGATTTTATGAACATACCATTGATCAATGTAGAACCAAAAACGAATCATATAATATGAATTATATAATAAACATCCTGAAGCTTGATGCATTGATACTAAACCAAATGATCACCATAATTAATTAGGCTATTATTAAATGATGATCACTTGGTTTAGTATGAAGCTTTTTATTTTGAATATAGATTCTTGAGATATTGATTATAAGTTTATATTACTATACCAACAGGAAGTTAATACTTTTTTTTATGTTTTCATTTAAACTGTAGTAGAGAAAAACTTCACAAAAATACTTTTTAATAAATATACATAATTATTACAAAATATAAATAATGAAATAAATAATATGATATTTTAACATAAAAATATCAAGTGTGTGTGTGTGTATATAAAAACATATAACTGTGTAAAGTATATCTTAATATAAGTTAAATGATTCAATGAATTGACCTATATAACTGTACAGTAATTATGATTATAGATTATACATATATATCTAGAAACAAAAATACAAGTAGTGATCTGAAAGGCATAACTGGTAACATTGCCTGATATGCAGGAGTTATCTCATTTAAATCTAGCCTGAGTTGTTCTAATTATTAAGGGTAATATGAGATGGCAAAATCACCTATATCTAATTCCAAGTTGTAATAATGATTAATTTAAAAATTATAGCCAGAGAAAGCTAGTATTATTTAGTATATATTTGTATTTTAATATAAATTTATTTTTTATAATTTTAAACTTTCCTTTCATCAAGGTCAATAAACTTTTAACATGTTCTAATGTATAAATGACATTTAGAAATTTTATATCGTGTATTAACTTTTCCTTTAAGCATATCTAAATAGTGTTGGATGGATGCTAAGTTATGTATTATTTTTATTAATTAATAACATTAAGTAAAAGAATAATAATTATAAATAAGATGTGAATAATGATGATAATTTACCTCCCATCCTTCAATATTCTGTTGCAATTCAGCTAACTGTTCAAGGCATTCCATTCGCCTTTTTCTTTCATTAACCATGTGAGCAACTTCTTGCATTGCTGCAAAAGCATCTGTAACTGCTTTATAATCATTATGGTCAGATGAAGTATATTTCAGCAGTTCAGCAAGCTGAAGAGGATACTTGCATATTCTTTGAATTGGTGTTAATAGAAAACCATCTAATGATATATCAATCATTTCTTGTAATAGTCGGCAAGCCTAAATAAAGCAAAATGAGCCATTTTACAATTTCTAGTATAAAAATTTAATGAATACTTAATAATGTAAAATTCATCAAATGTTAACAATATAAATTTAATTAAATGCAACAATTAAGAAAGGTTCCTGTTAAAAATAACGAACCTTTCTTAATATCTGTCTTCCATAATCAATAGAAATCAGAATGTACATTTAAATATCTTCTAATTAATTATTAATCAGAAAATGGGTTTTAAAAAATTTGATTTTAAAATTATAATTTTTAATAAAATAATTCATGCAGGAAGACATTAAATTATAGTTAAAAGTGAAGGAAAAAGTTGTATATTTATTTGTATGATATTTAAAAAATTTAATACATAAAAAATAACTTTAGTATTCTAATAATGTTATACAGATATCTAAACTAAATTTTGATTCATCTTTTAATATTTATCATTTCTAATTTGAGCTGAGATTTAAAAAAATTTTATATTTGAAAATGTATTTGTTGTATAGTATAATTATTAATAATTATATATAAACCAAGGCTGAATTATATAGGGTGCCAACTTAAACATCTATCCAGGAGCAAAATAGATCTCTATCTTTGATTATATTAGGTTAGGATGCAGCAAACACAAAAACATCAGAGTTAAAAGTGAAGGAAAAAGTTGTATATTTATTTGTATGATATTTAAAAAATTTAATACATAAAAAATAACTTTAGTATTCTAATAATGTTATACAGATATCTAAACTAAATTTTGATTCATCTTTTAATATTTATCATTTCTAATTTGAGCTGAGATTTAAAAAAATTTTATATTTGAAAATGTATTTGTTGTATAGTATAATTATTAATAATTATATATAAACCAAGGCTGAATTATATAGGGTGCCAACTTAAACATCTATCCAGGAGCAAAATAGATCTCTATCTTTGATTATATTAGGTTAGGATGCAGCAAACACAAAAACATCAGATATTACATTGCTGTAAGATGCACTCATCTTGCAACTAGCACTTGCAGAGAATGCTGCACAGCAATTTAAGTGATGCAATATGATGTTAAATTTACAGCATGATGAACCAAAACTCCTTCAGCATATTTTAATGGACTAGTGTAGCACTTTTTCCTAGGGTAGCATATAACTGTTGCAATGGGCATAACTGGGCAGAGTATGCACCATAATGCATGCAATATACATGGCACCAAATATGTTTTACCCTAAATGTCTGGTGTGGAATTTGGAATGAGCAGCTTCTTGATCCCAGAACTCTAAATAGTGACGATATCTGAACATCCTAAAAAAGAACAGAAATGAATAGCTTGATGACTTGCCATTGGCACAAAAAAAAAGACCCATGTGATGCCAACGAACTAGAGAGATGCATACAAGAGGCCTGTGAAATGATACCAGAATGCTACTTGCCATCCACAATGCCATATTTATATTGCTGTGAAAACAAGTTGTTTTGAACATTTTCTCTAACAAAATAAAGTTTACATTTTACATGAATTTCTGTAATGTTGTTTTTATTCCTTTATGGTCAGAGGTTATTTGTATGCTATGTTAAATTATCTTAAATTGATTCATTTTGGCTATTGGAACAAGCATGCATCACATGCATACACTTGTGCAATGCTAGAAAAATATCTTTTGCTCCTGAATAGATGTTTAAATGGCCATCTTGTACATTAATAATCAAATAATAATGCTGAATTCATCAAACCATAACTTAGTTAATTAAATATATAGATATTAAGTAATTTAAACTGAAGGAAGTCCAAATTATTTAATATCTATATATTTAATTAACCATGTCATGGTCCAATGAATATGGCATTATTACTTGATTATAAATACAAAAGAATTTAAAATATTGAATTTTTATAAAGATTTACCTTTTATAATTTTAAACTTTCCTTTCATTATTGTCAAAAAACTTTTAACACGTTTTAATTATTTTTATGTAGTAATTATTGTTTCAGCATATGCCAGATTGTGTTTTAATTAACTATAAAACACACACAAATTATTTAAAGTTTTATAACTACTGTATGAAGACTTTTAAACACTGAAAATATTAAGCTGTTGCATTTGCAAGGTTCAAAGATCTTGTGCTTTTCTTATTTGAAGGAATAAAATATTATTTTAAAAAATATTGGAAACTGATATAAATTGAATTGAAAAATCAACTATACCGTAATTGAAAAACCAAAAATAAATTAACCTGTGTTAATGGGGATACCATTCACAAAATTTTATCACTTTTTAGCACAAAGCTCATCTTTATGCTAAAAAACTTTACTTTTGTTTTGGTTTCCATCAAATATATTAAAATATGCATTTTTAATTGACTTTATATTTTATATTAAATACAGTGGTACCTCAGGATATGAACGCCCCAGTATATGACATTTTCAGGATACGACATGAAATTCAAACATATTTTTGCTCCACAATACGAACAAAAACTCACCATACGACGTTACATTAGTTTGCAACGCCATTTTTTATTCACTTCTGTTCATCGGTCTCAGTCCGCGTATTTGCTTTGTCATGGGAGGATCTCACTCAATAAAGGAAATCTTGAGGTATTATCAGAAAGTGACTGATTTTATTGAAAAGAAGCATCCCGAGAAGATTCACACTGGCCGTATTGCTGCTCGGAGTAATGATTTTTGCCTAAGTCATTTTAGAAACATTTTAAAAAGTAGGCAAAGCCAAACTTCTTTGGATAGATATTTTACCAAGCGACCTCTATCCAGTGAAAGTGCTGGTGGAAGTGAAGGAAAGAAAGCAAAAAGCAGTGAATAAAAATAAAAATAAAATATATATATATACAGTAGAACCCCTCTAATCTGTCACCTTTGGGACTGGGGGTATGGTCAGAATGCAAAAAAGGTCGGATTATCAGAAAAAAGTAAAATAAACAATCTTCCCCTTTGTCCAGTCTTTGTAGCACTGCTAATTTTTCATTTAATGAAAGAGTAACGTGTTTACGTTTCACTCCTGACATGTTGAAAACACACACAAAACTGTACATGTACACACAATGTAAAACATATACTGTAACAAACACAAAAAAACACCACGGACGGTGAGTCACCGACGAGTCGGGACAAGTTTCTCGACTCCGACCATGGTCGGATTAATCGAAGTGACGGACTAGCCGAGGGCAGACTAGAGGGGTTCTACTGTATATATATATATATAAAACAACACTAATTTTTTAAAATCTTTTCTAAGTTATTTTTAAGTTATTGTTACATTATATTATGTAAGTTAAGTTTTAGTATCATTTCCCTTCTCCCTCTCTTCCGCCACCAGTTTACACCTCCACCATCATCTGTCCTCAAAGGCAAAGTGCTAATAAAACTACATTTTTTTTTATCAATTATTATTCTATTATGGTTATTTATACATTTACAACTACAAAATGCAGTGTTCAGTGTTTTGCTTACTAAAGTTATTTTTTTAATGTACTACTTAGCTTTAATTTGAGTGTGTTTTTCGTGTTGGAACGAATTATTTGGTTTTACATGTAATCATATGGGGAAAAATGATTCACCTTACAACATTTTCATGATACAATCTCAGTTTCGGAACAGATTAATTTCGTATCCTGAGGTACCACTGTATTTTTAAGTGTTTGAATATATTTTATAATGTTGCCCAAGATATCACTTCTAGACAACCATTAAAACTAAGCTAAATTTGTTCCATAGTGAAAGGTTATGTTCAGCAATGCTGGCTGGAATTAAAAACTTCTTTGGATTTATAAAATTTTGTACCAAGAGAATCATTTTGCTATTTTTTTGTTGTTTCAAAAAGTTTATACTCAAAGGTGTTAAGTTATCAAGATGAATGTTAGGTTATAAACTGTTAGAGTTTATGAATTCTTAAAAGGCAGAATAATTTGTTGTTTATTAAAAAAATTTATATTTATTTTTAAAAAGACACTTTAATATATTTATTTTAAGATATTATATTTAAATCATATAGGAATGAGAATGAGTTTTACAATAATTAATAATAATAATAATAATAATAATAATTTGATTAGACCTTTTTCAAAGTTAGAAATAACAATAGTAAGATTGTTACAGTCAATGATTATAATCTGAATTGGTTTTAGACTGATATGGGACAGGAGGCATAGTGTTTGAGTTAGAAATGATATGATAGAGAATGTATGAAAGTAATAATAGTGAGAACTATGTATAACAAAATAGTGTTTACAAAGAAATACAGATGAAAAGTATGTAACCACTTTCTTACTATAACAGTCCTTAACCACTTTCATACTATAACAGTTTTCTGTTATAGTATGAAAGTGGTTAAGGACTGAGCACTTACCTCAAAGAAATGAAGATATTTAGGGTCAGCATAAAGTTCCTGGAGTTTGCTTACAGCTAAAGGATGATTATTACAATATTCTGAATACATTTTAAATTGTTGTTTCTGTAAAATTAAATAAGATTTATTCAACAAAGTTGAAATCTTTATATTTCTTGACTCAGATATTCTTAATAATTACAGCTTATAGCCTTCAGAAATCAAAAAAATTATTTGGTAAATATAATATTTTTAATATCTGTAAGATTTCATCTTCAGATTTATTCCAAAATGTGAAAGTAAATTTAAATTCAAAATAAAGAATGTTCATATTAAATAATTATAAAATTTAAATGTGAGATCTAAAGATGGAGTCTTACAAGGAGAGCCTACGGCTTTGGGGTAACGGATTTTGATGATCTTTGGTTTAGAGGTAGTACACCATGTGAGTGTACTACCTGTAAAATACTAAAGTGCAATACTCAAATATAATTAAGAAAATCGAACTTAAAGTTTTTTAGCACTTTATATATAAATTATACGTACTTCTATTTGAGCGTCCTGTGGCAGAGTGGTAACGAGTCTGATTCATAAGCTTGAGTTCTCGGGTTCGATTCTCGCGTAAAATTTTTTTTTTAATTCATAAATACTTATAATGTATTTATTTATTTACTCATTCATTTATTTCTTATTATTTATTTATTTTAATTTAATTTCTACTATTCCAAGTCTAATATTTTTATACTTTTGTTGACAATAACGGCGCATTCTTGACACCTATGTGTCAACTTTCCCATCTAATTGTTATCACTAACGGTGACCGATCTAATTCTCACTAGGAGCGTTTTTTCTATCGGAGTTCTTTTTCACTCACTCTTTAACAGTTCGTTTCTAAATTTCGACACGAATAGACGTATTTGTGTAGTAAAACTTATTTTGAAAAATTATTTTATAATCGAAAAATGTCGTCAAGAGAAGCAAGTTCTTCACGTTGTGACGAAAAAACTGTTGATGATACCTTTTAAAAAAGCAGCATTTATTTGTTGTTCTTGGTGTAGACAGAATTTTTGTTTTGAATGTTTTTATCATAAGTATCATTCACGATCATGTACATCTGACAATGATATGTAATTATATAATATTGCTTCAATAAATTATATTCGTTTTTCTTGGTTATATTTGAGTTTTGCACTTTACAAGTTAGTATTTTACATCACTGTATAAAGAGTTATCATCAACAGTTTTTTCGTCACAACGTGAAGAACTTGCTTCTCTTGACGACATTTTTTGATTATAAAATAATTTTTCAAAATAAGTTTTACTACACAAATACGTCTATTCGTGTCGAAATTTAGAAACGAACTGTTAAAGAGTGAGTGAAAAAGAACTCCGATAGAAAAAACGCTCCTAGTGAGAATTAGATCGGTCACCGTTAGTGATAACAATTAGATGGGAAAGTTGACACATAGGTGTCAAGAATGCGCCGTTATTGTCAACAAAAGTATAAAAATATTAGACTTGGAATAGTAGAAATTAAATTAAAATAAATAAATAATAAGAAATAAATGAATGAGTAAATAAATAAATACATTATAAGTATTTATGAATTAAAAAAAAAATTATACGCGAGAATCGAACCCGAGAACTCAAGCTTATGAATCGGACTCGTTACCACTCTGCCACAGGACGCTCAAATAGAAGTACGTATAATTTATATATAAAGTGCTAAAAAACTTTAAGTTCGATTTTCTTCATTATATTTGAGTATTGCACTTTAGTATTTTACAGGTAGTACACTCACATGGTGTACTACCTCTAAACCAAAGATCATCAAAATCCGTTACCCCAAAGCCGTAGGCTCTCCTTGTTAAATCTCTTTTTAAAATCAAAATCTTAAGGTTTTTGATTTTAAAAAGTAATAAAAATTTAAAAAAACTTAAAATTTAAAGAATTATATTATTCTCTAAGGTATAATAAAAACAAAGTGCAATAAAAGAAACCAGAAAACAATAAAATGTCATATTAATATTATTGTACTAATTATATTAACATACTGAATATTTTATGACAAATTTGGAAAAATATTTCTTCCAAGATTATAAAAATTTAATTATCATTGAAGCCTATTACAAAATTTATATTATGATCTACAAAATTACAAATAGGTGTTAACAAAATCCAAATTGTATGATACTAATTAAAAATAATAAATTTCAGAATAAAACCAATTACTTGAGTGAGGGCCTTTGTTAGTACCCAAGACAAATATTGTTACTTAATAAATTTCATTTACAGAAAAAAAATGATAAATGCTTTGCAGTTCTTCTCATTTATTTCAGAGAATATCATTCATTTATTTATAGATAGCAATAAAAAAATCTTATTTTGATTTAATTGTAATTACTATTTTAATATTATCAATTTGTGATACTAAATATGATTGTTTGATGACTTATTCCATTAGCATGCCTACTTGAACCTTTTACTTTCATGTTTCTTTATATGTCTTTTTTTTCTGTTATTTAAATTCAAAAACATTTTCCTTGTTTTACATTTAATCTGAGATTAATTTTCCTTATTTTTCTTGGAACAAAGATTATTATTACAAAGATTTATAAAGTATTGCATAGGCATTCTTAACTGCTGAAGAGGCATTATTAACTTCAAGAACAAGAAATGATGGAATATTGGCTTTTTATAGTAAAATGATTAATTGAAAGACCATATATAGCTCTAAATAAAATTAAAAAGGGGTTTTTGCTAATGAATACAAACTTCTTTTTCAGAATAAAATTGTTCAACTAAAAAAAACATTAGATATAGATTTACAATAGATAATTTGTAATAAAAATTTAGACAATTGCTAATATCTTACAAAGGAATGTCACAACTTGCTATGTGCATATTTTAATAAAATGTTATATATATATATTGTAGTTCTCAGTGTCCTTTTTAAACAGGTAAAGCCATTCATGAATGGACAATATACAAAGAGAAAACTTAAAAAGAAATATATATGGAATTAATAAGTAGTTCATCTGACAACTTTTATTATGTTTGCAATTTTGGACTTGCTATTCCAGGTTTTTATCGTCCTGTAGCCTCATTCTTTTTATATAAAAATAACTTTATTCAATTAAATTTAATAAATAAATATTTTTTTTATTTTGCAGCTGTTAAAAATTTAATTAAAAGCAAACATGCTATTTTTTAAAAATCTTTTGTTCTCATTTTATATTTATAAATGCTTAATAACCAGAATCTGACTTGTGAGTAATTGAAAATACAATAACGATTGTTAAGTTGTAAAAAATTATGCATAAAAATATTGTTAACAGAGAGTGTAACACCATAAGACATCTTTGCACATCTAATCTTACACATTAAATTCATTAGTCCAATTACAATTTGTTTCATCAATTGTTCATTTGTGTGCTATTAAAAAAAAAAATTAAGAATAATTAGATTTTTGTTTTGGATATGCAAAGTAAGAATATACTAATGGATCTTCCATATAATGACTGCTTGAAAGAGGAACTTAGAAATTCAATAAAATATTTTCTTAATGTTCTTTACAAAGTATACTAAGAATAAAAATATTTATAATTATTGTTACATTGTCACAATGCCAGACTGCAATTTTTAATCATATTTTTAATTTATTTCATTTAAAATATATGCTCTCCACCTCAAATTAGTAGTGGCTTGTCCCTGTACATCATACTTTTCCTTTAACAATAGAGTTGTACCAGTCATCTAACACCTTTCAGGGAAAATTTTTGAAATGAAATAACATGACTTTTGGTTTGTATCAGAAGTTAGTATATAGTTAATCAAGGCCTCCTATTCCTAAGGTTTCCATATCTGATCTCATCTTTTATCTATCTAACTCTGTTCTCAAGATTAAGGAAAGATGGATGGACAAATAGATGGCAGTGGAAATTTATAGATCTCCAGTTTTTTCAAATTGCAGCCCAATGAGTATTAATTTTGTTTCACAATTAGATTTCTAATACAGATATAAAATACTGAATAAATTTAAGATGAAGATTGACAAGTGTTCGTGTGTTTACACTATATAGTGTTCAAAAAAACAAAAACAGATATAAAACATGTTTTATTTACTAAAAGAAAACATATTTAATTGCAGATATATTACTTGAGATGAGCATAATAAATCAAGAAGCAGTTGGAAAAATCTCCCAAAAATCAAAAGTAATTGAAAATAAATTAGTTGAAAAATTCTTGTTTAATTTGATGGTCTTAATTAGTGATGTGTTATGTTTTCAATGCTTTTATAACTCTTATAATCCTAACAATTATATCAGAAATACATAGATTTTGTAAATTAGAAAATAAATATCTTTAATCATTTTTATTTTTTTATGTTCAATTAAAAGAAATTTAAATTTTGTATTTCTTTATTGTTGCTTATCTCATTTTTAATATTTTTCTCTTCATTATTCTTAATTAATAATAAATAATAAATCATTTACTATTATTATTGATTGTAAGAAAAAAATTTTTGAATTCCTAAAAGAAGTTTTATACATAAAAGATTGCTGTATAAATAAAATATATATATATAAATAAGTTATATTTATATATTAAGGAGAAAGACTGAGGGAAAATAAAATCCAAGTCAGTGAATCTAAAACTTCAAATATAACTGACTATACCAACTATACCATGCCGCAGTTAACATAAAAGTTGTCAAGTGAACTACTCATTAACTACTCATGTATTTCTTTTCAAGTTTACTCCTTGTATTTTATCTATTTACGCAAACAGCTTTGCTTACTTATAAAGGGCACAAAAAATCTGCAAGGAATATAGTATTTTATTAAAAAGTGAGTAGCAACTTGTAACTTTCTCTTGTTAGTATTTTATCCATTTCATTATATAACTCTAAGATCAATTTAACATAAGTAATCAAATAACTAATTCATATTTGAATTGTAGCAAAATTCTAATCTAAACAGCTATTTATGCAAAATATATACATATATGCTGATTCCAATGATTTAATTACTGTAATTGTATTTTGACTATTCTGATTATTAGAGCTGTCCTAGATTAGCTGAATAATATTGAAGGAGGATATTTAATTGTAGAAAAGTGGATACTTTGTTGGCTTCTTGCCAACAAAGTATCCACTTTTCTACAGAATTTAGCTTAAATTTTGTTTGATTTCCACTTTAATTGGAATTAGTGAAAATACAGGTAATACTGGATTAAGATTTATACAAAAAAAACTATATTATGAAACTCACAAATATATATAATTACTTTATTTCTGTGCTAGAATGGGAGCTTTATTTTATGAACTAATTTGTCCAGATATCTTGAAATTGCAATGTCTACTACAAATGTTAATTCTGCATTAATGTGCTTGGATGTTTTATTAATAAAAATTGATTACATGAATCAGTAACATAGGAATTGCCTTATATCAATATAATAATGACAGCTTTCTACGCATAATTTAAATTATTTTTGTAAGTTTAAATAAAAATATAACATAATCAAGAATAAATTTACTAAAAGTAATTTTAAATAATAAATTTAATAAAAATTAACTTACATGTTCTAAAAAGCAGTTACCAATATCACTCATATGTGGTTTGTCAGCATCAAAACAACTTTGTAAATGTTTCAGAAACTGACTTTGAAAATTATATATACTTTCTATGTTGCCAAAAATAGTAGCTATACAGTCTTCAGTAAACATATCAGGACGACGTCTAACTTGCCTTAGATAACCCTATAAAGTAATATCTAATTATTTTAGACATACAAAATCTACTAGTTGTATCAATCAATTTATTTAAATTATCAGTACATCATTTAACAATTATATTATATAATTTATATTATTATATGGTTATGAGTAAATAAATTACTATTAAAAATTTTCAAAAACTATAAAATTCTATTTAAAATATAATTATTATTAGAAAATTTAGTATACAAGAAACTTAAAGATGTAATAATAATAATAATAATAAATCACATAGAAAAAGGAATCCTGAAGAAAGAAGATTTTGCACTTGGAAATGGAGACGTTATTGAATCCATGGAAGAGGGCGAGTTCTACAAGTACTTAGGATTTCAACAGGCCAAACTAACAGAACATACACAAATAAAGCAACGATTAATTAAAGAATACCAAAGTAGGTTAAACGCTATACTTAGAACACAGTTAAATGCAAAACACACAGTTAAAGCAATAAACACATATGTCATCCCAGTACTCACNACATGACCTTTGATATTGCTGTGGACCTGCTGCTCTTTTTTTTGGCCTCGAGGATCGTCCCCGAAAGCCTGCTGAATCTTGCGAATGGTTTACACTTGGGTATCGCCAAGGTTTTTGGCAAAATTTGATGTAATATCACTGCTCACGTTGTTCAGTCATTTTCGAGCTTAGTGGAATCGACGAGAGCGCACTACATGACCTCACTCATAGGCCGATTGCCAATGACTGACGCTTCCTGCAGGCGGGAAAAAATTCAGGGCTATGCATGACTGTCCCCTCCACAACTCCACCGAAGGAGGCCTCTCGCGCATCATTGATTTACGCGGGAAAAAAAGGTATGATACTTTTTGAAAACAGACCTCGTATATATAATAATAATATAATATAATATAATATATATATACAGTCAAAATGTTATGTTAGGTAAGGCGTTCTATACCATTCAATATATCCACACCAAATTGGCATGAGCATTCTTCAACATTCTAGATAAAATACTGTAGAGGTCCCCATCCCCAACTACCCCCCTCTTAACTTAAGCCCAAGCAACACCAGGCACATGCAGCTCTTCTTCAATTCCTTAAAAATTACTGTACACAGTACAACCAACTCTTATTTGGATAAAGTCCACCCCTGGAAAAGCCCAGTAATGCCAGATACACTCAGCTACTTATCTCATAAATTTAACTAAAATTAAATTTTAAATTTTTTAACTAAGCTTTTAAAATAAACCTAATTTGTTAAAAAATTTTCTAATACTCAAAAAGATTTTTGTAGTTTTTCAGTGCTTTAAACAAATAAGGATCTAAATTATGCTTTTCCTTTTTGTTAAAAGATTTTTTCTTTTCTTTGTTATACAGGCACTTCAAACAATTTTGCTATAGATACACAATTTTTCCATTTGAATTAAGTATTTTGAGTCCCAACTGGCAGAAGATATTTCTATTCAAAATATATTCTAAGAACGTTATCATCTCAATTGAATTTCTATCCTCATTTAGTCAATTCCGAAGTTTTTTCAGTGTTTATTAATTTTATATTAACACTTTCATTTTTATGATTGTTGTTGTTATTTTTTTTCATAACTCTATGATACATTTCTATTCAATACTTTTCTTTCTAGACTTTTCTTTTCACTTCTTATCAAGTTAGAATATTGAAAAAAAGGGCCTTTCCTTATCTCTAGTTTTTATCACTAAATTTTTCTGAATTTTTTTAAACCTTATTAGGTAGCTGTCCAATTAATTATCTTTGTTCCTTTAATTATTTTCTCCTTATTATTTTACAAAGTTATTAATATAATCAATTAAATCTGAAACAACTATATGAGATGAAAACATGCTTCAGAAGATTATAGTAATTATAGGCTTGAGATATTAAAAATACTAATAATAGTATTTCTTATACTATGACAGTAATGTTCAGGAAAGAATAATCTTTTTGACATCATAAGAAATGATGAAGAGTAGCAAATATGAGAGTTTAGAGAAGAAATGTATTGCCTAGACATAAAAATGATTATGATGAAAGTAAGGATATTTATAATGAAAATAATAAATTTCAGCATTAGGCTAGAAGTATAAAAAATACATATGACTGAGATTGTCAATAATAGCTGTATCAAAATATATTTTAGATAAAAATTATCTTGTTAGCTGGTACTTAATACATATAATATAAAAAGGTCAGATATAACTGATTTATAGCAACAGCAAAAAAAGGGATTACTTTCCTAAACTTATTTTTAAGAAGAAAAAACTAAAAACAAAAATGATCTGAAAAAAAAATTAGAATGAAATTATAGAAAATTATTATATTACATTAGATATAGAGAGCATTTATAATCTAAGATAATTTTGAAGTTAAACTGAGAAATTTTTAGAAATCAAATAAACTCTGCATGACAAAGTTAATGTTTATATTACAATAAGATTCTATGAGTCTAGGTTATTAATATATTTAAAGCAACATCACTCCATATGATTGTATGATAGTATTTTTTAGCCAATATTTTAAAATTCAAAATTCCTAGTATTAATTGTAAATTCAAAATTGTTCTAGTATTAATAAGTAATAAGTAAAACTCTTTTTTCAATTTTCATAATTTTAAATTGTAATTGTGATTGTCAGTTAATTTTTGATTGCTTTAATAAACATATTTCTTTTAGTAATGAACAAGCTTGGTCAAGCCGATCTCATAGCACACTCCACAAAAGCGAATCAAATATTAATTTTGTTTAAAATGAATTTTATAAATTCTTAGAATCAAGTAGTAGTTGCACATGCATGTGGACATATGCAATAAATGGACTGAATGGAACATAACACTTACATAACGAAAGTGAAGTCACTGTGCATGTGCGTGGATATCTGACAGACAGACAAAAGTCCTAACATAAGCTCTTCACCACTATAGTGGAGTGTGCTAAAAAGAATAGTAAACTTTTGTTAACTTTTGAAGCCTAACCCTACGTTTTGCATTAGTCTTTTGTTTCATAGGACTAATGCAAAACATAGGGTTAGGTTCCAAAATGCTAAAAATGGCAAAAAAGTGCCATGTTAGCACAGATTTGCATAACATGGCATGTTTTGGAACATAACTATCATATTATATGAGGAATACCTGTATATTGTAAAAAGATATCATACTTTTTTGTAATTAAAACTGTATAAGATAGAAATAAGATACCATTACACCTGATTAACTCATTTAGAACTAGAATGAGAAAGCTATTTAGAAATGAAACAATGATAAGATGTTTCTATTGGACATGTATATACGAAGGTGGTTTTTTCTCAAGCTCCAATGGTCCATAAAACAAAGACAAGTGTAAATAACAAAATGAATTTATTACCAAAAGTTAGGTACAAAAATGGTTACTTTTTGATATAATCAATGTGAAGGTTGAGGAATTTGTCATATCTGTGGATGAGCTTTTCCATCCCTTGTCATAGAATGTTGCCACCAGTGAATTAAGATGGCTTAACGTTGTTTTGAAGATCATAATTAGTCTCAAACCTCTGCCCTGCTAGCCATGTTTTCAGTTCAGGAAAGAGTTGGAAGTCTTCACACATTAAAAAGTTTTAAGCTGGGTGGAAGTCTTCACCACCTTTAAACACCCAACGTATAGCCCCAATTTAGTGCCAAGTGACTTCCACCTCTTTCCTGAACAGGAAAAGTGGCTAGGAGGGCAGAGGTTTGAGACTAATGACAATCTTCAAAACAATGTTAGGGCCCATCTCAAGTCATTGGCGGCAACATTCTATGACAAGGAGATGGAGAAGCTCATCCACAGATATGGAAAATTCTTCAATCTTCACAGTGATTATGTTGAAAAGTAACCATGTTTGTACATAACTTTTGGTAATAAATTCATTTTGTTGCTTACACTTGACTTTGTTTTATGGACCATCAGAGCTTGAAAAAAAAACAGGCTATGTATGAACAAGAGAACCAAACATTCTTATTTGAATTTAATATAAATACCACATATATAAATAATTTATTTATCCATCAATAAAATACAAAATTCAATGAAAGAAAAAAGAAATAATAATTCTTATGGTTTGTATAGTTTTTCAATACATATTTGTAGAAGTAGTGATTATAAAGAAGATAGTAATTTTAGAAAAGTAGGTTGTAAGAATATAAGCATTTCTTTACTAAAAAACAAAATAACAAACTATAAATTTACAACTCTATGAACTATGTTAAATAAATTAAGAAAGTTTGAATAATATATCAATCAAATTATTAATAACAAACTTTAACAATTTGCTGAAATTTACTGAATTACTAATTGGCTATTAAATTATTTAATTTCTCACTTATCCGACTGAATTCATTAAATTTATTTCATGTTTCATTAATAACATATTTACATTTAAATTTTTGTTTAAATATAGCATATTTAATATGTGACAAGAAATTTCACTTTCATAAATTTAGAGATTGTTTTTGAATTTACATTATTTTTATTTATCTAATTCTGTCTTTAATCTACTCAACTAATCTGTGGAAATTCTACTTTACTTCTGGATGCTTATGCACCAATCTCTTCTTATAACATGAGAACAGTTTAACACACTAATCAAGTAAACAAAATTACTGTAATTTCCTGCATATAATTGATACTGGCACATACCAAACAAAAAATTGTTAGAATGGAAATAAAAGCTTTGCATATCATGCACTTTATGATGAAAGCAAGAGCATATATATATATATATATGCTCTTGCTTTCATCATAAAGTGCATATCATGCACTTTATGATGAAAGCAAGAGCATATATATATATATATGCTCTTGCTTTCCAGAGGAATAGCTACAGAGGCTGTGAAGTGACTAAGCCCCCTCAGCTTAGTCAGCAGTGTCCACATACAGTATATATATATATATATATATAATGAAAATTATATTATTATGATGAAAGCAAGAGCATATATATATATATATATGCTCTTGCTTTCTTATGATGAGAAAGCAAGAGCATATATATATATATATATGCTCTTGCTTTCATCATAATAATATAATTTTTATTATATATATATATATATATATATACTGTATGTGGACACTGCTGACTAAGCTGAGGGGGCTTAGTCACTTCACAGCCTCTGTAGCTATTCCTCTGGATAACCCATGTCATCACAATCTGCATCTGCTTTCAAATTCACTTTCAAACACAGATAATCCACAGGCTCTTCACAGGAAATTACTGTAGTTCAAAAATCAAACAGAATAGTTCAATCAAAACAGAATTCCCAATTATATCATGTCCTTTATTTTCTTTAATACATAAAATTTATCATTACTTTTGTTTTCCATTGCCTTGGTTTGGATTGCATTGGAATACATTATGTTGATGTATTTATTATAATGCTTGCAATGTGTACTAACTTTCCTGTATATATAATAAGAAAAGAATTCACAAAGATGATCATCTTTAAAATATAAAATATAATAGATTCTCGATCTATAGTTTTTGGAGGGACTTGAGAGAAAAAATGACTGATGTGGGAAACGATTGACACAGGAAATTTATGACATTGGTGTTTTTATTTGTTATCTCATATGAAACATGTATTTTCCAGCAATAAACTTATATGATGGCTTTCTGTAATACTAAACAATATGGAGCATATGCATGAACATTCATTTATTTATTCTACATGTTAAAAAATTGTTAAGAATACTGAAATTTGTTCTATTTTCTTTTGGTAAGAATATTTAATGTATTGACATCTCTTGCACTTGAAAATGATACTGTAGAAGTGTAAAAAATGTAGTGAAATTATAAATTTTTGTCACTTACAATGTGTTGATTCTCTTATGGAAAAGCGTTCTGACTTTTCTCACTTATCTAGATATGATCTTCCCTATCTCAAAAAAATGCAGGTTGCCACCTTATGGGAGAAAATCCTTATGCATTGTATCTGCTCCTTGAAATTATTGTACATCCATCTTGATCCTTTATACTTATGTTCTTTGTTCATAGAAATATTAACAAGGTTTGCCTTATGTCAGAATCTTGTTAACTTTTATCTGTGATCTCTTCTTACAACAAAAAATTTTTGGACCTCATTTTACAATGAATCTATCACAACTCTCTTTTGTATGATGCAAAACAAATCTCTAAATGGGCATAAACTAAAATTTAAGTTTTTTCATACAATTTCAACATACCAAACATTAACAAATTATTATTAACAAATATGTAACACATTCCTTTATATATTGTACTTATTTTATATGAATAAATCTTAATTTTTCCAAATTTTTGTGACTGTCTAAAATTTTTATTCCACCCTCAAGTGGTTGTGACTCCCTATGCCAAAAAACTTTCAGTTCTAGACAGTTCACTAGATGGAAACTACTCTATAGGTACTATATTAATATATTTTATTAAACTTTGTATAAGTAGAAGTGTGGGTTTCCAGACGAGGTTCGAACTTGAGTAAATCTCAAAATTCTTATGTGACGCCAGATGTAAGCAAAGAGACTCGGAACTGTTCGAGTATGTGTCAAACTATCTGTCAAAGTCTTAACAGTAGATAAACTCTAACACGAGTGCTCATAAATAGGTAGATCATTGACTCGTGAGTCTATAAAATGTTGGCTGAGATAAACCTTTTTGAACAAAAAAAGGGGAATTTCTGATAGATGAAAGATGAAAATGATTGTTAAATTCTTAGACAGCAAAAAATGGTATAAACAACGACCTGAATTATGATTGCGGGTGTTATTGTTTTATAAACAATCACCGGGCAGAGTTGACAAAGAGGTATCAAATGGACACCTTGAATCGGACCTTTCCTGCAACCCAAAGAGGTTTCATCTTGCACCTGGAGACAAGGGAGAGACCAATCAGAGAAAGAGAAAAAGGATGAGAAACCAATCAAAAGTACAGAAGATGGAAGGAAACGTTTAAAACCGGGGACTTCAAGGTCAGGAGAGCTCTGACAGACTCATCCAGCTGCTCTCTGGATATAGTTTCGTGTGCTAGTTTGAGGAATTTGTGCCGCCTGGAATGCAGCAGTAAATCTCATACCATCGACATTGCCCAAGGATTTAGACTCGCATGCCCTGGGGCCTGTACAGACTAAGGACCAAGGAAGTAAAACTATAAACCTGATGTAAGCTATGAATGTTTCCAGAATGTTACCAAATAAATGGCATTGTCTTTTGTAAACACTTGCCAACACTTGCCTCCTCTGCCACACCCATGTACAACCTTCCCTTAGGTTCATCCTGACGTGGGATTAACTGATCCCACCTAAAAGATGGCAACCTTATAAACCTTTGAAAACCCACTCCTCAACACCTGTATTTACAGGTGTTGAGGAGTGGGTTTTCAATTCCCCTATCTCCACCGGGTCGGCAACCTTACAGAAGCATAATGGCATTTCAACAGAATGTTTATTTGCACAAATTTTCTTTTCACATCAATTTGAGCATTTTATCAGTAGGTTCTAAAAGTATAGCAGTTAGTGGTCTTGAAAAGTATGAGAAAGGTGAGCCTTATAATTGAGAATATACAGTAGTAGCCAATCTAAAAACTTGCAAAAATTTAGTAGTCCTCTAGCAATGAAAAAAAGACACAAAATATCAATGAAAAGGGTGATATGTATAAAAACAGTAATTGCAAATTGATTTTTTTTCAATTGTTAATGGTTGTTTTCAGAGTAAGACATATTTACAAAATTATCATACAGATATTACCATACATCATACAGTCCCCAAAATAAATATACAAAATGCAATAATTATCATACAGATGGCAACCCTGAAACAATGTACTAATTTTTATAAGTGTTGTCAAGCTTTAAGAGGAAATGTTGCCAATAAAGTACAATATTCTGTAAAGCAGTAGACAAAAAGTAGCTAAATATCAGAATAAAAACTGGTTAGTGGCAGTCAAAGAGTTTAACTATTAAATTTGACATGCTTTTATATTTAGTACAGTCGACCCCCCTATAACACGGGTTCATATAGTTTGGATTCCTATATCACGGTGAAAAAATTGCAACAGTATTTGTACAAACACGCTAAAAAAACCTCATATAATTCGGTAAAACATCAGTGCCAACTTGTGTCGTGACAGAATTGGCCGAATCTAGACCAATAGCGGATATTGTACAAACTGTTGAGTTTAAACGAGCAGTGGACCTACTAAAAACCATTTATTATTTAACGTCCATAAAAATTATATTTATATTAATGATGTCTCCAAAGTTCAGCAAATTTTTGCAAAAAAAATAATTTATCAGGAAGCACGTGCACCATTCGATGACAATCCACAACGAAAACAAGCTTAAGCAATGGTGTCGTCGAATGGTGCACACTCAATAAGTAATCCTACAATTTTTTGTTTATAGCATAGTTTATATGGATTATTCCCAAAAAATTATACGTATTTTGGAAATGTTGAGTCAAATTAGTCTAGAATTGATTAATTTTATGGAAGGAAACCTTTCAAACAGCCATAGTCCATAAACTGCACACGTGCCAGGTTGTGATTGGCTCATGTATTTAAGGACTCTTAGAAAATCAATTTCATAAAGAACGGAACGTATCTACCATGTTATAGGGGGGTTGACTGTATATGAAAATCAATGTTTTCAATTTAGTGCCCTCTATTGTGAGTGATTGATGTGGGATAAAATTTTTCTTTCAGTTAAAATACAGAATGAACATTATGGGAAAATGACCTAGTTATTTGAATCACTACAATCAACAGATGACATAGTAATTTCCAGTTACATGGAGAGTTTGTGTATCCATAGTTTGTATAATACTACAAATTCTAGTCTGTGTTTTTTCTTTCTTTCTTTTTTGGAAAACCATTTTGGATAATTGTATTTCTACTGTAATTCATATAAATCTATCAATTTCTACTGAAAGCATTCAAGTTTTTTAAGAGTTTTATTTTATTTTTTTTAATTTTGCTTAGAATAAACAATTTCAGTTGGATTTTATCTTTGAGAGGCTTCTTAATAAACAACTGTGCCTACATACTAGTTAAGAAAGTCGGTAATACAAGTAAGTAGACATACAATTGCTAGCCACTAAAAGTTAAAATAAATTTCAGTATTTGAAATTTCTTATCACAATTAAAAGTATTGATAAAAAAAAGTAAAACATACTTCTACAACGTCTTTTAGATGTTTCACAAAATCTTGTTCTGTTGTGATTATCTCTTGCACTACACTAGCTCTTATCTGATCATTACTAAATTTTCCAGGTAAATTATGCAATAAAGGTCTTGAATGAGGTTCCTTATCAGATGATTCTTTATTTGCACTCAACTAATAAAAAATTTTAAAAATTCAATTATAATATAAAATTATATTTTCTAGTGTTCCTAATAAATTAAAAGATATAATTTATTGTTAAAAAATATAAGTTGATATTAATTCTTAGAACTAAAAAAATAATAATTATTATTTCAGGTTACTCATTGTTTCTAAATACTGTACTATTCAAAATTTTGCATCATTACTTATTATCTAAAGTAACAAAATCAGAAGTAAATGTGATTCAATGAATTTTTTTGTGTCTAATTTTGTTCTCATCATTGTGCAAATGTTGTTCACAGCTCTTCTACTAGAGATGTCTTTTATTAGTAAAAGCCACCAACAGTTTCAACATAAAAAATGAATTACTGTGATTGTTGATGTCCATTAATAACTGGCCCAACAAAATGGTTCAAAAAAATTCATTGTTCTTTGGAAAAATTTGGTGTATCATTCATTATTTTCTGAATAGATAACTGAGTCAGGCAAAGATTTTGAAAAAGATGATGACAATTTCTCTTTGGATTGATCTCTAAATTCTCACAAAATTTCAAATTAAATTTCTGAATATGGACAAATAACAACAGAGATTAAAGAGGCACTACAGAAGTAGACACTATAGTTTCTAATCTACTTATAATCACTCAAATTATAATTCAAGAATGCTTAATTCTCCAAGAAACATTTGGTTAGAAAATTGCAAAGATTTGAGATAATCTCATTAAAAAATCCCATTCAAAGGAAAATAACTTAAACATTGTTAAATGTTTACACAAAAATGGATAGAATTTTATTATAACTATTCCAGATAACCAGAAATTGTATGTGAAATGATATAAAGAAAATTTTTTCCTGACTACTTTTTATGACAGTACTATGAAATAAATTATGAAAACAGAAAGCAGGTTACATTGGACACAATCTCCCCATAAGGATAATAGAATATGATTATGATGTGAAAAAAATTATAACTTGGTATTAACAGTGCTATCCTTGATACCCAAAAATACTCCACATTTTGACAAGGCTAAACTCCTATGCATTACTGCAAATCCAAAGAATGGAAACAACTGAGAAAATTAGCATCTACAAGCATGCTAAGAACCATCAATGCAAGAATGCTAACTGCCTATCAATGGCACAGAAACATCTAGTATAGTAATGTTCAACTCTAACACCAAAATGCTATCTCTAAGCCATACAAACCTGTATCTATAGAAGATAATTAATACATGAATAAATATCAATGGTTATATATTTTTTGTTTGTTTCATATAATTATTTTATTTATTTTTAAATTATTAATTTATTTAAAATTATAATGTATATTTGCTATACATTAGAATTTACAAATTTGAACATATATTAGATGTAAAAAATGTAATGTTCTATATTTTGAATATTCTATTACTCAACTTGTACATGATCCAGAAGATGGCTGCAAATAACAGCCAAAAATATTAGAAAGAATAAACAATATGTTTGTCAATTTTTGGATAGTATCTTATATGTATACAATAACACCAATTTGGGAACATTTTAAATTCAATTTGATAAAAATAGAGAAATTTATTTCCAAAAAAAAATTTTTTCAAACAAAATTTTTATATAGCAAGGGATCATGAAAATGCTTCTATATAAAGAAAAATGCATAATCAACTCATAATATTTTGTAATTATAAGTTATATTTTCATATTTACAGAGAATGAAACAAGAAAACATATCATTTATAAATTATGATATTCTATAACAACAAACACATCATTTATTTAAAAAAATCTTATTCATGAAGTTATTTTTTAGTTTTCCTAAATATTTTCAATTCAATTCTAAGCTATTCTCAAAAAAATACAAACAAAATTTAATATGGACCTAAATGGTCAAATTCTCTCATTTTTAAAATAAGTTTAATATTCAATACTATATATTTAATAATATGTAGTTTTCTATGTAGTATTCTAAAGTTTAAAAACAATTTTAATATCATATAATAGAAACTTATAAAAACTTGAAATTAAAATTGTTATTTTTAAACTTTAGAATAAAATTTTAAAATTTTTATTCTTACACAACAGTTTTATTTTTAACTATGAAAGATGTTAATTTTAAAATAAAATTTTATAAAATATTTAATATGGAAAAGAAAATACTTACTCTTATGTATGCAGCAGATAACCATCCACTTTTATTAGAGCCACTTCCCCACCACCAATCTCTATATACTGAAGGATCAGTTATCTTGATTCTATCAGCTGCTTTAAAATCAAATTCTTCTGAATCTGTTGCATTGTGATCCCACATAACATCACCATCAACTGGTTCAGAATCATATTCCTAAGAATATACTTTATTTAAAATAGTGATATGGCTGATATTATTTTACAAGAATATATAATTAATTGTTATATATACCCCACATGAAGAACCAGATCTCCAACTGCAGCTTCTTTGACTATGATAGAGTTCACTGTCAGAAGAAATTTCTTCTTCTGATGATGATAGACTTACTTCTTGACTATCTTGTTCAGAAGGACCTTGATTAAAATAAAAATTATTAGTAAATTTAGCAAAATGCATACATATTTTGAATATTTTATTATCACTAAATTCTCTAAATATGAAATTATTTATACTTTATTGATACGATCAAATACAATTTCTTTCTCAGCTAGCGTCTTGTTTTTGTTTTGTTTTGTTTTGTTTTTGGTTTTGTTGTAGGCCAACCTGGCCACAGTGTCTTTTGAGAAATGAAAAACAAAATAAAAAAATAAAAAATATATGTAGTATGAAAAATGTTCTGTAATTATTACAGAATGTTTTTCACATAGAATATTAGGTGGATCAATAAAAGAATAATAATTAGACATGATGACAGTGCAAAATTTGATTTTCAATTTTTATGGAGATAGAGCCTTTTGTTGTTGCGTAATACAACAGGCAACTGACAGTTAACAATTAATGCAAATTAATCCAAAGGTATTCCAACTAAAGATGGAAATATTTGAATCAAGAATTTAGAACTATTCAATTGTAAAAATTTAGATGCATCCTTATTAGCTTGCATAACAACAAACAAGCCAATTTGAGTTCCAAAAAACCAGCATCTTGCTTGTTTGTCAAAACTTCTAATCAAATTATAGTAATACAGAGACTGAGTTATTTTATGATCTAACTTCTCAAGGAATTTTAATACTCTAATTAATCATTTACTTCAATCTCTGTAATTATCAAAGTGTTAATCAACTTATTTTTGAATACTTGATACTAATTGGTTACTAACAACTCCAAACAAGACAAACTGGCAATACTGTATTATCTTATTCACATTATTTTCATGAATTACATTTGTTGCTTGTTCTCGAGAACTTGATTCTTGAAAACTCTTGAAAACTTGTTTGATTCTTGTGTGATGTTCATGCAAAATATATGTAGATCAGCAAAGGAAATAACTCAGTGATAGTATAATCCCATATAAATAACTCAGTGATAGTATAATCAAACTAATTATTTTATTTCGCATATATGAACAGGTTCTTTTGGATTCCAACTCTACAGTGATTAATGACAATATAGCATCAAACAATATTCCAACACGCAGTTACAAATTGTATCATTTGCAACAAGTATAAATGATCACTGAAAACTATGACTAATATTTACATACTAACTTAAAACTAGGTAAAGAAAGAAAATGATAAGGGATAGAAAATCTAGAAAAATAGAATACAGTAAGGAGTGAAATACCCAGAATTTTGCTGGACTTTACAATTTTGGGTGGGATACCACGTTGAACCTTTTCTGAAAAGTCTCTCATTGTTGTCTCCACTAGGTTTCTCCTTGCTCCTCTTATTATACCCTCTTATCGTAACTATGATAAAAATCCAATTCTCAAACTCTCTCAAATTCTCCAGTTGTTGCCATTTGCAACCTGGAGCACAACATTCGACATCTGTCCACCATGAGGTCTAGACCTAAGAATGTCCTTTCTTTCCCTCACTGGCCCCAGGGCCTCTTTTCTTTCATTGTTCTATGTGGTTCCAAGAATTGGTTACCCCACCCAAAGGAAAAGAGTTAAAAAGGAATGTTCTGGAAGGAAGAAGAAACAAAGAACAAAGAAGAGGACTAAAACTATACTTAAATTAATATATACATTAATATGGTGTACAGCCACACTTGGAAGTTCTTAACTCTGCCCATGGTTAATTCCAATGACAACCCAGGGCCGGCCTGTTCATATATGCGAACCAGGCGATGGCCTAGGGCACTTGAATTTGGGGGTCAGCATGGCAAAAGTACATGCATAAATTACAATAAATAATAATAAATGTTTTTTGATCACAATCCTTTCTCATGTGTTGACCTGCGAGTCGCCGTTTTGAAAGGAGCGCTGTAGTCTCACGATTGCAATATTGCATGCTGCATATTGAATAAAAATTAGATACTCTATTTTACATTGATGTTTTATATTGTTATGAATTTTTTAAAAATGGGGTGATGTCAAAGCCATTTGCCTAGGATGCTGAGTTTGTTCGGGCCAGCAGTGAGACAACCCTATATCATATTACTCCTTGTCACATGACTTTCATTTCCTTGACCTGGCTTGAAATTGTTCTCAAAATACAGTTTTGGTTTGTCATGCTTTGCAATAACTGTTACACCCGGAAATTATTTCACTTATTTGTCTACAAATGGATTTTTAATTTTCTGCTTTATCCAGGTTGTTCTTTGAACCCAAAAACCTCTTCTATTTCCACGTTGGACAGGTTTTTTCTGGCTTATGGTAGAATTTAACACAGAAAATTGTTTCATTCCAAAGAATTTTTTCCACTGAACAGATTTCCATTTTATTCAGATTCTGTTTTGTTGTAAGTAATGATTAATTTTTTATAATTATTATTCATGTATAACTCAACATTATTCACTGTAAATCTGATCTTTCACAAAATTCCATGAGAAAAGCTAGAAAAATGATTAGAATAAATATTAAAAAAAAGAAAGAAAATGAGTCACTCTCATTCAATCCATTGTTTTGGCATTGCTTACTTATTCAATGATGTTGTCATCTTATTGTAGATTGGTAGCAGATTCTCTAGCTTTGTAATGTTCTTTACAATGATGTATGCAGAGCAGCTCTAC